TATATATATATATATTTGGGGCTTAAAAAGCCCAAAAAGAAGACAAAACTTAAATTACCCCCACTATATCAGTGGTTAATAAGGAAAGAGTTAATCAACTGTATACTGCCAGTGTAAAAAAAATTTACACTGACAACTAATTATATCTTTTAATTGTGTCATGTCACTATAAACACATTTACTTTTAACAGTGACATGGCACAATTAAAAGATATAATTGGTTGTGAGTATAAACAAATTTTACACTAGTAGTGTATAGGTGATTAACTCATAAGGAAAAGAGAAAACAGGGGGGAAAGTCATAAACAATAAAATTCTCCCCTGACACAACTCTATGTTTGGCTAACAAATCAGCCCCTGAATTGGCTTTTCTAAAAGAGAAGGGTTATAATTACACCGGTGTAACTTTTACTAAGTATTACACCGCTCAATAACTTTATATTAAATGTGAATTTTGTAAATCTAACCGTTAGATTGAAAGTTCATGTCTCTTAGATCATACATACAAAATTTAATATTAATCTAAGATGATTTGATACTTCATTTTTATAAAACAAAATTGACGTAATATATTCATTTCAAAATACACTAAAATATGAACACTTTGATTACCTTCAAGTTGTTGTTCAATTTTAACAAAATTTGATATACACGTATAAAGTGATATGAACTTTCAATCTAACGGTTGGATTTACAAAATACACAATTAATATAAATTTATTGAGTGGTGTAATACTTAGTAAAAATTACACTGGTGTAATTATAACCCTCCTCTTTCTAAAAATATGCGAAATTGAAAAACTCGAAAAAACATTGAATAATTGGAAAATTTGCTTAATTATATCAACATAAGGATGATTCCTAGCACATCCATCTTTCAACAAATTAATTGCTTCTAAAGAGTTTGATTCAAGTATGACTTGCATGCTTAGTTGACGATCCACAATAAGCTGAAGTCCTTGCAAAATGGCCCATAATTCTGATTGGATAAATGAGCAACTACCCATTCTTCTAGTAAAATCAACAATAAATCCACCTTTAGAGTTTCGGATCACACCTCCACATGAACTCTCTCTACCATTGGACACTACAGCGTCACAATTTACATTAATAAAAACCCCAGGAGGACAAATCCAAGAACTAGAGAGAGGGTTGTATATTGGTTCATTTTCTAAGCCAAAAGGAGAATGGCTAGAAAAGAATTCCTTCTATGCCAAATAGAATCCAACATCACAACAAATATAGAGGGCCACGTACTTCACCTTGTGAGATGGTGCAACATCTAGGATTGTATGTTGCCTCCAGTAGGTTACATAATTAAATCGCCTACAAGAATCCTCTTTCGAACTTCACGAGAAAGACTGTAGTCTCGTAATACTTGGAGAGTGGTCTCCACACCTTGCATGCTAAAGGGCAAGTTAACGTGGTAGTAAATCCGCGAGCAGCCCTAGTTTTATTTGTGAAAAGTCCTTCATGCGCAACACACCAAAGGAAGCTCCTGATCCGTTCTAGGCCTTATCACTTCCAGATAGCTCGAAAAATCGATGGTCGAGTAGGCATGTTGATTGGAGACACAACTGCATAGGCCGAATTTATTGAAAAAACACCATCCGAAGCCGGACCCTAACAAATTACATCTAATCCCGCACTGTTTATAGGAGGAGGGTGATGTATAATACTCTTGAAAATTTCATGAGGAATCCAATCTTTGATACATTCAATGTCCCAAAAGTCATACTCGTTGACGTAGTCACCAACACATCTAAACAACTCCACGGGTGTAATAAAGGAGTTAGCTTGCCTAATAATAGAAAATCCATTAGGCAACCAAGAATCATACCAAAATCTCATTGTCCTTCCGTCTTTTACCTGCCATTAAATATTTGAAGTAACATATTGCCAGTTTGCACAAATTCCTTTCCATAAATTAGACATGGACGTCTTCCTCTAAACTTGAGGGATTAATCCATTTAAGCATGTATACTTGGATCTCACTACTTGAACCCATAGGTTATTAGATTCAATTATCAAACTCCATCCATTTTTTTTATCATAAATGAATTATTGATATTTCTCATGGATCGCAACCCTAGACCACCATACTCTTTAGGAAGACAAATTTTATCCCACCCAATAGTATGGATCTTCCATTGATTCGAATATTCTCCCCATAAGAAGCTCTAGCATAATCTATCTATTTCATCACAAACGTTGAGAGGAATATGAACTGACTGCAACATATAAGAAAGAATGGCAGCAATAACAGACTTACACAGAGTGAAACGACCTGCAAAGGAAAAAAGAAGAAGCTTTCCATCTGTTGAGTCTTGTGGTCACCTGGTCAATAATAGCTTGATAATCTTTATGATGAACTCAAGTATGTTGAGCAGGAATACCCAAATATCTCCCTAGATTATCAGTGCGACTAAATCCAAAAGCATTACTAATTTCCTCCCGCACTATATAAGTTATATTTTTTAGAGAAGAAGATTCTTGTTTTCTCCACATTGACTTTTTGACCTGAACTGCCACAAAAGAGGTCTAGACATGATTGTATTACTTCAACTTGATCCATTGACGCTTCCACAAATAACACAAGATCATCCGCAAAGGCAAGGTAAGAGAAAGGGAAGGGCCATCTCTAGAGAGTTTAATTAGTTTCCAACCTTTAGAATCAACAGCCAGTGTAGTGAGATGAAAAAGGCATTCCATACAAAAGAACAAACAACTATGGAGAAATAGGGTCACCTCGACGAACGCCACGTGATAGTAGGAATTCCTCCAAGACCTCGCCATTCCAAAGCATGTGAAGTTTAGGAGAGGAAATGCAAGCAGAAATTAGGTCTACAAGATTAAGTGGAAGACCAATATCTATAAGTGTATCCTTCACAAAGCTCTACCTCAGCCTGTCATAGGCTTTCTCAAGGTCGATCTTGATAGTCATCCATCCTTTGTTACCTGTCTTACTTCTCATAAAATGAATAAATTCCTAGAAAATGATAATGTTATCCTTGCTATATCTGTGTGGAATAAAACTACATTGATTGGGATGCACCAATTTTTCCATCATATTACTAAGCTGATGGGCCAACACTTTGGTTAAAATCTTGTAAGAAATGTTGCATAACCTAATAGGAAGCATCTATTTTAGATGGGTGACATTCTCTACTTTCGGGATCAACACAATCATGGTTTCATTAATGTCAGCAACCTTAACTGGTTCCGTTTCAATCTCATGAATGAATTCACACATAGCAAGGCCTACAGTTTTCCATTGAGATTGATAGAAAATTACTTGTAGTCCATCAAGCCCAGGGTCCTTAAAACCTCCCATTCTTCTAGCTGCTAAATAAATTTCTTCATTACTGATTTGACTGCCAATAGTTGCCAATTCCTCCTCATCAAGTTGAGAATAATGTCTTATAAAAATTTGTTACCATCTTTTCTAACTCACCTTGCTATGTCACCCACTCGTTATTATCGTTCATCAGCTTCTCCACCTTATTCCTTCATCAACGAACAATAGTTGTTCCATGAAAATACCTTGTGTTTTGATCACCTATTTGTAGCCATTTACATCTATTTGAAACCATATTATCGCTTCTCGTGCTAGTATTTGGTCAAGGTCATACCACAAATTACGTTGAAGCCTTCCAAGGAAAAGAGTTGGACTTTGAAGCAGCTTGCGCGTGATTCCATTTAAGCGTCGGAGAAGTCTACATTTTGTGTAGAATACATTGCCAAATGTGAACCTGTTCTAGTCTAGTAATGATTGCTTCGTGTGGTTAAGTTGTTGATTCCAATTATTATGCGTATTCCATTCACGTTTCAAGAGATCAAGATACTCCTTATGCATAATCCAAGCTTCTTCAAAATGAAAGGGTCGTCTAGAGTGGTGGTCAAAGTGGTTAGGGTGTAACTTTAACAGAAGTGGAGCATAGTCT